ACTTCCTAGAGAGCCGAGAGTGCTATCCTTTGAGCCTTCCCAGATGAAGGCTTATGTCTTCAGTGATTCTTGGATAGGATAAGCCTTTGGGCTGGATAAGCCTTCGTGGCTAAGATTATCTAAGTAGCAGGCGAACTGCATTGTAGCGGGCAAAATAATAGAAACCTTAAACTTGCGAGGTTTAAGGCAAACTGTTTTTTCCAAACTTGTCGGGTAACCATGCCATGATTGACCAATATTTGTGGTGGGAATCGCACACGGTACAGCTTGTTCTAGTTGTTGCCTTGTTTTCGCAACTTTTTTGGGGCAGTTGACGTTGGACTTTTTGCGGGGGGGTGCTCGCAAGCTTTTCGTGAACGTCGCATTCGGCGCTGTGAGTGGTGGCTGCAGGTTCTTGCGCACGCGCGTCGTCTAGGTGTAGATCCAACTTAACACACCCATATGTCTAGGAGTCTTGCAAGCATATATGCGGAGCCCAAACCATGAATCTCAGCAGTCACATTTTGTTTTGGATATTTTTTGTGTTCGCTTGGATGGCCACCAACACGTGACCAGCAGAGTCGCGATGGATTGCCGCAATGTCCACCGTGAGGTCTTGCTGCCGAAGTTTAATTTGGGCAGTCAGCTGTGAGAGGGTACAGTCTGCGCATCATGATTGTTTTTCTCGGTGGAGTGCTGGCAAGATTTAACCACACGCCTGGTCGCCCAGAAATTTTGTGCTCGGCTCGCTCAGCTCCGCTTACCAATTGTTGCCATGGCATTGCGTAAGCTAGCTGCAAAGAAGCAGAACAAGATCATCCGGCGGCGGAGGAAAGCTGCCAAATGGGGCTCGAAGAAAACCTTCAAGCTTGGTTCGCTTCGCATCCACCCGATCATGTCAAAGATGTTGCTCGACAATTGGAGTCTTCAGGTTTTGGAGTTTTGGGGCAAGGTCTGGGTTCTGAACGGACGTCTTCATTGCCTTATATCGGTGTGTTTCGAATCCTTTAAAACCATATATACTCTATATATATATATATTGTTTTCAAAACTAAATCTTACTGACCAACCAAGGCTGAACCTTCTGTGGATGGGTGGGCTGCCCTACTCGCTCCTCGCGTTGTTCGAGCTGGTCATGGGAAGCATGACGCAGCCAATGTATGTAGCTTGGACTGATTCTGGTAGAATCTATGCCAGTGATGTGAACATATACATGTTTGGATGGTTTGTTCACCAAGCTTTCAAACACATGAGAAGGTTGGATCCAGCCGGCTTTTTCTTGAGGCTCTCACGTGCGTCGAGGCCTTCGCTGGAGTGAAGTCGATCACCAACGGCTTCAGGCCACCAGTTTCCAGAAATCTGACACCAACTTTCAGAGTGGTAGAACAAATAGTGTTTTAGCAACAAAGTCACAGAAGTGTCAAAGTATTGAACAATGTTCCAAATCAAACCCGTCACCAACATGTGGCAGGAGTCTTGGCTGCTCTGCTGCCAGCTTCGAACTTCAAGATCGGCCAGAGTTTGAAGATATCATGAGTGGAATAGGGTGTGGATACCTGCTGGGTCTGGTGGCCAGGTTGTGGAGAACCGTTTCTTGGCACTTAATCATGTTAGCGCTTCCAAGCCTGTCTCCACTTTCAAACTATGAAATGGCAAACAGATTGCAATCAGAAGGGATGCAATATTCATCCGTTGTTTCACAACACCTAGGTTTGTTTTCACAAAGCAATGCTAACGTGTCCAAAAGCGCCGCTCAGCTGTGAAACATACTCAGGCAGGATGTGGCTGGTTTGCGCCGGTCTGCAGTACGTGGGTTTGGATCAATCGGCCCCTAGGCTTAGTCAGCTTAGTCAACCGTACTGCAATGTCCCTTGAATGAGTCTGTAGGGTAATGTTGGTGGTATTGAGTTCTTAGAGTGGCTGATTCCCAGCCTGCCATTCCACTAAGTCAGTTCAGTCACATTCGCTCACTCGATCAGGTCAACCTCAAAGCGGTCGCAAGATCAGCCATTGGGCGATCCATCAGTGCCAACGGTCGCTGATGCGAAGCTTGGTGTGAATCAAATGTACTGTGTGTAGACTCACGCCGACTCACGTGTTTGCACTTGCATGACTGCATATCTAGATCAATAAGACTCAAGACAATCAGTGCGCCCTTGAACTCTTCTTATTTGTTTGCAGCCACAAGTTTGATTTGAAAGCTGGCGCACCAAACCCGTGCAATGCTGTCGGCGCCCGTTGGCCAGAGAACTGAGTGGCGAACGTGCTCACCCAGGGATGGATGGGTGGTCTATGTTCGTGCCTTGGGCAAGCTCGGCTTGGATATGGCGAGGGCGGTGCCGAAAGAGCTTGCAAAAGCTGCTATTCCACCGTTGACGGAAACTCCCACGAGCAACTTGTTGGTGGGGGACTTCTCAGCTGGAACAACCACTAAAGAACGAACATTGAATCACAGCAAGCACTACAGTCCTGCTTTTGAGATTTGCTACCAATGTTTACTGCTTAGTAGTTTTGTGTGTGAACAGTGTTGAGCAGGCTGCTTTGGCAAACACACTGAGGATCAAGAACTGGTGGGCCCTTCATTCCCTACTCATGTTCCAGGAGTTTCAATACCGCAAGCCCAACATGGAAGAATTTCGGATTATCTTCGATAGCTTCAACAATTCCTTCCAGGCCAGGGCCCAAACCGGGGTAGGAACATCAGAATTGAATCAAAAAAGTCATTCACCCTTTGCAACTGCTTACATATCCACATGGTCCAGCGTGCGCCCTTCAATTCACCTCTCATTGAGGGCCTTGCCTTCCGGCCCACTGATGCAGAAGCGCCTCGGCCATGTCCCATGTTCAAAGCAATGCCGTTGCGTGAGTTGTGCAACAAGTCACTATTGGTCTACTCGCATGGATGGGGCCAAGGACATGGGTTCTGATCTTGAGGGCACTGCGGGAAGTCGCCAAATCAAAACTGCCAAGAACTTGGGGAAGCTCTGGTCAGGTTTACGGAGGAGCTCTTATTGTTCGTGCCTGCATCTAATGCACATGTAAGTAAGTATAAATAATTAAGTAGTTTGTCTACAAATCTGATTATGTTTGTCTTGCAGGAAGTGGCAGAATTCGCCTCACTCATCCAGATCTGTATGGGTGCAGCTGTTAAAGGACCAAATGAAAAGCACGCAGTCCATGGGTTTCGAGCTGGATGCCGAGACTGATAAGTTGGGAGAGTCCAGCGAGCCTGAGTCTTGGACCAGTGATGGTATCCCTGACAACTTCATGGGTGAAGATCGGCCTACCTATGATGGCTCAGACTCACCAGTGGGTACCCCTCCTGAGATGGACCGTTCACCAATGTCTATGCCTCCTGGTCCTGATCAAGACTTGGTGTCCAATGCAATGGATTCTAATGATTCAGACCAAGCTACTTAGCGGAATAATGAAAATTGTAGATGCCACTTGATCTTTACAGGGTGTGATATTATACTTTCTTATGTCCACCAACCCCAAATCCCACCCAGCTTCTTCAGGCGAGTGATATGGGGAGCGATATCTGGAAAAATCGCGTTGATGATGAGATCTCTCCTTTGGGAGATCCCGAGGGGCCCTTTGATGGCCGCATGGTGAAGTTTTGTGATGATCCTGACTCGCCTGTCGAGAGCTCCCCTGAACGCCCGGACGATGTTCCTCCTGAAGTGCTTGCTATCTATGATGGGAAGGAGAAAGCAGTGAATGTTTTGCGGGCCACATGCATTTAGAACATATGAAAAGATACATGCTCCATGCCATGAGTTAGGTGTCCCAAAGATGTCCCAACCAACATGTCCGGTGTCTTTCACCATCTGCTTGGCTTTCCGGCCAAAGGACCCACGTGGCTTCGAGGATGCTCTGGCGAATCTGGACCCGCCTCCAGTGAGCGTTGACGAGAGACGTGAACGGGGGACGAAGAAAAAGTCCAAAAGGAAGTCAAAGTCAAAGGCCAAGTCATCTAGGTCTAAGTCAGAAGAGTCCAAGAAGAGAAAGACCAATCGGTCCAAGCGGTCAAGATCTCGTAGCGAACCGTGCCATTCTGATGAAGCAGAACCGCCAGTGGTGGACAAGGCTGAGCTGGTCAAGACCTTTGGTGAGTCATACCAGCATTTGATCAAGGCCCTCCCCATAGCTTTGTGGCCCCAAGCAGAGCGGCATGGCAACCACTCCTACACTGTGAACCTTTGTTGCACAAGCTGGTGTGAAATCTAAACTATGTTTGCTGTAGCTCCAACCGACCTCCTTAAGCTCAACACCTCCCTCCACATGATGCATCTACCGATCCAAGGCAGCTCCAGGGATCGGCTCGCCTGGAGGTCTTGCTTCGCCAGCAGGCATTCAAGCCTAGGACAAACGTCTCTGGAGACAGGCTTACTGGTGACGAGGGGAAGTCGTCACTCTTCTGGATTATCAAGAGGTGTTCATTTGTTTGCTCAAGAGGAGTGAATATGTCAGAACCAAGCTTTGAGTATGACCATATCCTGCCACACACTCAAAGCTTTAGCCCATCCAATTCTCTTCTGGCCCAGGATTTCTTTCGTGGCCAACATCAAGATGGCTTGGGACAAGGCTAGGGCAGCGATGGGAATGCCAATTTCCGAGTCTGACTGACTGAGTGCGCCAGCTGACCAATGATGGTAGATCTATGGATCTACGTTGTTTCTGTTGGTGAGCTGTCTGCTGTTGTGACCACACATGCCTACACATAGCCCTTAAACATTGTGTTTTGCGGGGAGGACAGGACTCACCATATGGAACTTTTGAAAACCAAAGTGTCTTCCTAGCTCCCAGACCTTTAGGACTCTGTCTAGCTAGGCTAGGAGTCATGGGTCTGTTGGTTAGACCATCTTAGAATCTTAGATCGCTCTAGCAGCTTCATTTAGGGGGTGAGTGGGTGGCGACCGCCGCTATTTGGAAAACAGGCTGGCATTGTCAGTGTCAGTGTGGGGGGTGAGAGTGGGCTGGGAGCACTCCACTAAAGAGCGGCGCATCTAAGGAACTGTATGATATATCGTGTGGCTATAGCCCTCACGATGATGAGTATTTTGCGGATCCCATGGTTCGTCGAGCAGCCAGCCAGCTCACTGATGGAATGGCACCCTGCATTTCAACACTTGTGCAAGAAATTTACTGTTTACAAGGCTACCTGGCTTGGATAAGAGTTTGAGCGTTCAATTCACAAACAAATGTGTTGGATTAAACAAATCATCCAAAGGGACCAGACCAAAGCCAATAGGGTGTGCTTCCCTAGGTATTCATCTGGCTTGGGAGCTACGGAGGAGAGTGACACCTGGCAGCACCAGGATCCCACACGAACCCAGCAGGAGTGAAGATTCCATCCAGCCTGAAGTCTGAAGGCCATCAAACAAACCCACATGTTTCTACCCATCTTCAAGGGATGAGTGTATGGAAACTAAGTATTGAACATGTATACAAAAGGGTTTGTGATCCCAGGCCCAAAGCCTACGCTGATCTACTCGAACTATCGGTTCATCGAGAAGCTATACTTGCCCCTCCCTCATGGCAGAAAATGGCAAGCAGAGATGAGCGTTAAGCAACTGGCTTCCAATAGCGCTGTTTGAACGTCACCTACCCCCTCCAACCATGGCTCCCTCAAGCTCAAAGGTGGCCCAAACGGTATCAAGGGAAACATTAGAGTTTAGGAGGCCACCCCATATTGAAGATTTGTCGTCCTGCATGACATCTCAACTCAACGACCCAGGTACGTCGACAATTCAGGTGTCCGCAGGGTGTCAGGTGGCCGGGATTTGAAAGCATCCCAGCATTATCCCAGATTGTTTGGTGCAGCCTTTGCCCAACTATATCTTAGCGAGCAAGCTGGCGTGCGTACAGAGATCCAGCGCCAGAAGATACTTAGCTATGAATCTATGAATGCTCAATCCTCGTTTAGAATGCGTGAACAGGTAGTGATATACAGTGGTCATGATTTCAACACTCAGGATGAAGCTGGCCGATCGCGAAGAACCCATGAGGCCCTTCAAGGACTGCGTTGAGCTATCAAACAGACCCAATAACAAACATGGTTTGTGGCAGAGTGTTTTGTCACACTTCAACAAGTGTCCAATTGGGAACCTGCATTGCAGGGCAACTAGTTAAAAACATATGGGATGTAAAGGGATGTGATGACGGCCCACCCACGCCCATATGCCCTGCAGATTGGGACCCGTGCAGGACATTGGCTGGGCAGCTGGAGCAAACCTGAACCAGGTGATCGCGGCGCTTCGCACATGATCGCCTGCTTTGTAGCAATATGCTACTAGTGCAATTAGATAGCAATCTGCTGCTATATATGCAAGTAGAGAACATGACTATACCCACATGCGCCTATAGCTGCCCTGCACAAGCACTAAACATAGAACTATAGAACCTTCTCGGATTCTCGGGGTTCCCCAGGAAAAATTCTTGGAATCCAAGAAAAATTCTTGGATTCTTTGATTACCCAAGAAAAATTCTTGGATTTCTCTGATTACCCAAGAAAAATTCCTGGATTCACCCATGAACTGTTCCTGGTTTCCTGGATTTGTGGTACTCAACCAAGAAAAGCTCGGTTTTCTGGTGATATATAAGATAAATTCCTGGTTAACAAAGAATATTACTAAATTGTTGAGGTTTTTTCAAAAAAACAAAACATTACCAACTTCTAAAAACCGAGAATCCGAGAAAAAGCCGAGAAAAACCGAGAAAATTCTTGGGTTCTGAGGGTAACTGTTTTTATGATTTTTTTGTTGTGTTTCAGGGAGCTGGGCAGGTCTGTGAAGGGCATGCGCGCTTGTGGGCGTGTGTTCGCAATAGTGCAGCTGGGGTGGAAAGGAAAAGTTTTCGTTGAGTTGCCATGTTGTGTGTTTGCAGCGTGTGTCTAGTGCTGTGTAGACTGTGTCCAGCGCATTTTCAACTTGCAATTCAATTTGTTTGAGGATCTAAAGGGGCAGTGTAGCCGTATTAGTGTGCCCTGTTCACAAGTCAGCATGGCGAAGAGCGTCACTCCCGTTGCTCCAACTCGGAGGCACCGATCAAAATCAGCTCCAAGAGGTGTAAGTCCAGATCCTAAGGCACTGCGCAAGGCCTCTGAGAAAAAGGCTCAGCCACGGCGGCTGCAGGATGTGGATCTCTACACAACACCCCCGCCCAGGACCTCTAAACGTTCGACCTCTACTGGATCCAAGGACAGCGTGAGGCAACGGATCAGCTTCGGTGAGAACACCATCCATGACATTGAAGCTGAGAACAAGTCAAAGCAGCCGTCTAAGGGTAAAGTCAAGTCCATGGGTGACAAGGAAGCTGAAAAGATCTTTGAAGCTTTGAAGGACCAGTCTTATGTAGAGTACTGTAAAGCCATACCAAAACAGCTTTCTTCTTTCTTCCAGTCTGTTTCTACGCTCGCTCGAACCCAGCCCTATCCATATGTGCAGGAGGACACCAAGACTGCTAAAGTCACCACACCAAAAGAAGAAGAAGAAGAAGATTGTGATGATGGCTCATCTACTGAAGCTTCTGAGGGTGAAGACAAGGTGGAGGCCAGGCGGAAATGGTGGTCAAGATTTGAGAGACCAGGTATGTTTACCAAAGCTCCTGGGATCCCCAGAGCACTCATGCTGAAATTGAAAAGGTCTAGACGAATCAGCAAAAAAACAATCCGCCAAATGCAGAATTGGTGGAAATCTCGTTTGTCCAAAATGCAGGAAGAAAAGAATGGCGAAGACTCTGAGGATGAAGGGAAAGATGATGAGTCTGAGAACGAGGAACCAGAAGACGAAGCTGTGTCTGAGAGTGAGAAGGAGGAGGAGGAGGATGAGGATGGTGAATCCACATCTGAAGAGGCATCATCTGCCTCTGAGGCTGATGACAAGGAGGAGGAAGAGGATGAGCAAGACGAAGATGAGGAGAGCGAGACCGCAGAAGAGGAGGAGGAAGAAGAGAAACCAAAGAAGACTGCAAAGAAGACTGGAAAGAAGGAGCCAAAAGAATCAGGGAAAGCAAAGACACTTGCAAAGGTTGAAAAGAAGACGGAGAAGGAGTCAGCGAAGGGCAAAGATAAGAAGTCGGAGACAAAAGGAAAGAAGAAGGAAGAAAAGGAGAAGGTCAAGGTGAATGGAATCTTGAAGAAGAACAGTCCACCACCATCAGAGCCAAGTGATGGTGGGAGTGCTGATGAAAGCGGAGAAGACAAGAAAGGAAAAAGCAATTCCAAAGCCAAGAGAAGTTCCAAAACCAAGGAGAAGGAGCGCAAGGACAAGGCAGCTTCAAAAGAGAAGGCAGTGAAAGCGAGCGAAGCAGCAGATGGGAAGAGAAAGAAGAATACAAAAGGCAGTGACTCTGAAGCTCCTGGCAAGAAGAAGAAAAGCGATGAAGATGATGGCAAGCCCTTGAAAGAGGCCGAAGAAGGTCTGGTCAACTCCACCAGCAATAGGAAGGAATGGCAGCAATTCACACGCTGGGTGCGCAACAAGAAGCGTTGCCCTGCCAAGATCGTGGCTGCTTGCAAATCCCAGGCGTGGCCTTTAAACAACATTCAGCCATTCTATGGAGTAGCATGTAAAGCGTTCCTCTTTAAGCATGTGTGAGAACAAAGGGGGCTCTGGAAAACACATCCCAACAGTGATTGGTGCCATGTTGCATCCTGCAGGATACACGGCAGCAGCTCTTCAAAGACTTCGTGGACACCGGGGACTTTGCTAAAGTGGAGGCAAGGTTTGAACAGAGGTTGGAGGAGACCCAGCGGACCTCTGTGAAGTATGGGTTTCGTTCGGAAGAGTGGCTGCGCAGAAAGCACGGGGAAAAGAAAGCAACGAAAATCATTGAGAGGAAGAAGAGTTTGGGGTTGAACCTTAACTTGCATTGGGGTTGACATTCTTTTGATTTCCTATATCATGTTCCCATCTCCTGAATGACCATGTATCCATTTGGGTTGACCTTCTTGGTTAATTTGCTATCATCTTCCCATCTCCCTGACTGCTCCCTCGCCTCAATGACCATGCATGGCCTTGCCACCAGTTGGTCTTCAAGTTCAGCCTAGGACGGTGCCCGACCCCGAGCTCCCTGGGGAAGGCGAGCTCTTGTATTTCGTTATGGTGGAGATGAACATCGAGGACATCAAGGAATTGCGCCGCATTACCCAGCTTGAAATGGAGGGGACCTTGGACGCTGACGGGCTGAAAGCCTTCGTCGAAGTTCCCTGATTTCTATTCAGTGCAGTGCCATGAACCCCATACCTAGGTCCTTGACTCACATATAATGCCCTCACCAGACAATGGTTGTTGGACCTACCTAGGCTGGAGGATGCCTAGATGGGAAACAGCATTTGGCACTTGGCAATATGGTGGGTGCTGATGGCATGGCGAAGCTGGTTGCCGATTCGGGTATGGGAGGTTCTACTACCAAAAATCCCAAACGGAGACGGGAGTCGGAGAATGCTAACGACAAAGCTACTAAGGTAGGGGTCAAAGATGTTGCCAAAACTGCTTTATTCAAAGTGTTTTCACAATCACCGCGGGTTCAAAAACCAACACCTTCCACAGGTGAAAGCGAAGGACGCCTTGGAGAAGGCACAGACTTTGGTGAACAAGGTTCTCAAGGACCACAACCTTTGCACGTAGTTTGGCAAGATCTTTCATTCTTGATATTGGTATTCAGCTCCAAGAAATAGCTTCTATGAGTTTAGCTCTATATCGCAGCAGCTAAGGGATCTTGCGTTCAAACTCCAACCTCTCAAGCTTTCCGGAGACCTGATCAATCAATTGCGGGCCTGTTCATGCAAGCTGAAGCAGCAAGCAGAGCAGCTGCAGCTTTTGATTCAAAAGCGTTGCAACAAGAACAAGCACTATGCTTCAACGATTGAGGAGGCATTTGATTTGCTTTTTGTTATTGACCAGGCTTCTAACAATCTAACCCTCGGTTTTTCATGAGATTCTGGAATCATCGGTGGCGCCCATTGGTGCCCGCGCCACATGCAGGTCGAGTCCATCACAAAGGTCGCCAAGGGCCGCATCGACTTGGCGAAGGCCCTGATCAGAGCATCCGAGAAAAAACCCAAGGCCAAGGCCGAGCCGAAGACTACGAGTGGTGCAGCTAAGGGCACTGAAGCTGCAGCTGCTTAGGGGATTTAAACTTTCATGAGGGATTCTTGCATAGGGCTGCCTTGATGAAATGCAAGGGCCGCCAGGCAAGAGTGTTTGGAAGGCATCGGGGTTTGTGATTGCTCCCTTACCCCAACCCTTGCTAAACAACATACGTCATTTCCAGTCTTCTTCTAGGTGCTTAAACTGAGACAATCTGGTGTGTCATGGGTGCAAGGACGGGAGAGGGTGCTTTCCTGGAAACATCAATCACCGCGGGATTACCTGCGAAGACATCGATCGTGCAGCCTTCAAAAACAATTCGCATTTAATTTCTGGCAATCCCTTCAAGCAGCCTTCGCACAGAAGGCTCCATATTTTGGAGGTGACCCCAAACTCCGGCCAGGTCCCCAAGCCGATCCAGATCGCCTCGTGCTCACAATCGCTCAATCCATGCCAAGCGCACCTGGACAGAACTGATTGTTTGTGTAAAGGCCCATGTGTGGTTTAGCCCAGCGAGCCCACTCGCCCAAGGTATGGTGGCGCAAGCATCATCTTCTTCGAGGAGGATTCTTTGGAAAATCTGCTCCGGTGTCACTTAGCCAATGATCAGTTCCGAAAAGAAGTGGCCTATTCAACCAACATGTATAAATATATTTATATACACATGATATGATTGATGAGTTTACACATAGTGGTACCATTTACATCATATTCCCAAATGGTCTCTATTCTTCCTCCGGCCCAGGCGACATCAGCCACTGATGGGTGCAGGGACGCGAGTACGCTCGTTGCTGATGGCTCTACTTGCCCCATGGCATTGGAAATGAAGAAGTGGCTTGATGGAGGGCATGCCCAACGCTCCTTTTCAAGGCATCCCACGAACTTTTGTTCTTTGAGGTTCAAAGTTTGGGACACCCTTTACTTTGAGATGCACCTGGTTGATGTAGGACTTCCCTGAACCAGGTGGCTTGACATGGCATGCACTCTTCACCCAAGTTCCACCTATCTGCCCCTCAAGATCACCGATGCAAGGGGAAAGGAAACCTACCTTGACAACGGTCCAGCCACTGTCCTCTGGCCTTGGGATGCGCTGAACTTCTTGTGGCGATCTGGCCATTTGGAGCAGTGGATTTGCGATGATCCAAGTGTTGCCGCACAAACAACTGTGGAGTATTGGGCCCATGTTCAGAACCTACCGTTCTTTCAATTGTTGGGGCTGCAGGACTTGCAAAATCACCCTTGTATACCACTATATTTCCACGCTGATGGAGTCAAAATCTACCGGTCTCAGAAATGCTGGGTATATTCTCTTTCCAGCGCTTGTCGAAAAGGCCACAGCACGAAAACAAAGTTGGTTTTCATTACTGTACGTGAAGGCAGTGTTTGGAAAGAGAAAACACACGACTCTATAGGGAAATTCGTTGGATATATGTGCGACACGCTCCAGAGTGGCCTCTACCCAGCTGCTGATGAATTCGGAGTTCCATTCAGTCCTGGATCAGAGGAACACCATAGGGCCGGAACCCCTTTTGCACCAGGCTGGCGAGGAGCCTTTTTTGGATTTAAGGGCGATTGGGAGGCTCGCCAGATGATTCACAAATTACAAAGGTATTACAACTCAACCTGGATCTGTGAACATTGTATGGCTAGCCGCAGACCAGAATGGACCTTTGGAGACCTTCGACCATGGGCTCACTGCCTGTCTGTGCGATTCACGCACGAGCAATTTTTGATGATCAGTGCTTGGAACAAGCGTTCTAGCTGGAGGTGTGTGAGGGGGTGGACTATAGACCGAAACCTGGAAGCTGCTTACATGGACTAGCAACCATTTTCAATATAGTGTGGTTGACCTTTTTGCTTTTAAGTTCACCCCCTTACATTCCAGTTTTCAGCACTGCCGAGGACTTGTTGCATGTGCTGCACCAAGGTGTAGCTGGCGTGGTCGTCGCTTCTTTGATTTGTGATCACCTAGAAGCCAAACATGCTGGCATCACCCTGAAACAAATGGATGCGCTGTTGTCCGGAGAGGTCTTTGAACACTACAAGGGTTGGTGTGCAGAACGGTCACCTTTGGTTTCTATGTGTTCTCATCGATTCAATCTTTCCAGATTCGGTAAGGAAAAATGGTCCAATCCTCCAGAGCTTCAGGGTATTTACAAGGCATCAGTCGTAAAAACGCTGATGTTCTGGTGCGCAGACTACTTGAAGTCTGAGGGTGATGGAGTGGTTGGTGGTGACCTTCGAATCTTCACCATGCACGCGCTTGCGAAGTTTCAGCTGCTTCTTGATGTCGGCGGCCCATGGTTTTCGGAGGAGGAAAGTCAAAAGGTGGTGACTTATGGATGGGCAGCCCTAATGTTTTTCCAGCAGCTTACTGCGCAGGACCGCTGTAGAAATGACGGCCGCCGATCGTTCAAGATCACACCAAAGTTCCACAGCTTTGTCGAGATGCAAATATACATCCAAACCACAAGGCGCAACCCACGGTTCTTTGGCAAATACAACTGTTTCCTTAACCAAAAGAAACTAAGTGTTTCTTTTTCGCTTTCGCTCAACTTTTGTTTTTGGAACATTCCCTCCCTACAAGGCATGATCATTTTGATTCCCTCACCCATTCCGTTTGGAAAGCTTAGGTTCGAACATTGCTACCAAGATGAGGACCTGATGAAACAGATCGGAAAGATAGCTAGCATGACCCATGTGGCCACATTAGAGAAAGTCACAATGGAACGGTATGCGGGACTTCTGGAACTCCAGATCTTCGGTCAACCAAACGGCTGACTGCCCTGACAGTCCTCGAGATGGAAAAAACTCCATGCGTCAGCGGGCGGTGGAGGTGATGGGCAAGCAAGTCCCAGAAAATGTTCTGTAGTTTGTTGTGGTTTGTCCTGGAATGTTCCTTGTTGCCGGTGAGCCCCCAAAACTTTTCAGTGTGGTTTCCTTCGAAGACCACAAGTCCTGAGTATGTGGCGGTGGACAAGTTACTTTAAAAAACATGGTTGCTCTTTAGGGCAGCTAAACATGAGAGCGGCGGAGCGGACAGCGAGTTGCCGCACGCAACAAGCAAAAACAGCGCAGGTTTTTGAGGTGGAAGGCTGAAACCAAACCACAAATATGTATATGTATAAATATAACTATAGTTGGCTCAAGAAAGACTGCAACTTTTGGTCCAAAGTTGCAGTGCTTGTGTGCAGACAAACCATCGCACCTTATATTGCACCGTGTTGGCCCAGAGGATCCCAAAGCTGTAATTGGGGCAGTCTCACGAAGGCTTAAAGGATAAGCCTTCGTGTGAGAAACACGCCGAAGGCTTAATGGATAGCACTCTTGGCTCTCTAGGTTCCTCAAAACGAACACACTCCCATCCACCACAATCGCCATTTCAGCTGAGACTTGTCACGAAAACAGAGCTTCGACGAACGCACTCCCATCCACCACAATCGCCATTTCAGCTGAGACTTGTCACGAAAACAGAGCTTCGATGC